GTCTTAGTTCCTTTGATTTATTCTGCTGCCTGCTGCCCGTCTGAGAGTTGATGCAGCTGAAGTTTTTTTTTTTCCTAACCCATTGTTTGCTTCTCTCTTAATTCTTTCCATGTGGATTGGGATTTCAGGTTTCTTTTGCAGTGACGGTACACTGCTACTTGCTTCACTTTCTATTGTTAGAGCGTTTCTTGAGGTACTGTTTTCTATCGCTGATTCATGTCCTGATGGAGAGTTTATGGTTACTTGAAACCGTTTTTTTTATTTCTTTAACTTCACGTAGAAATTGCTCTGCTATATTATTTTATCATATCAATTCTTTTTTGATATACCTAAATATGCAGAAATGGGCTGCGTCTTTGATAGAGATTTTAATTGCAGAATCTTCATTGTATTTCCTTGCACATCTTATTTTCACCAACGATTAATGGTTTGTTTGGTTAAGGTCAAAATAGGGGATGGAAATGAGAGGGTTTCAATCTGGACTCAAATTAACTGTTTCCGTTTTGGGACTCAGAAGTACTCATAAGTTGGTGGATCCTACAAAGATATGGAATGGTTGGTAGTGAAATAATATTCGTTTTCACTCCGGGCTTTTGCTTGTTGGCGAAACTGATTAACCACCCTATTAAGCATTAATCAAGTGGAAATCAAAACCCTTTCCTGATTCTCCCTGTCCATATTCACGCCCTCCTCAATTTCAGACTTTCTCTGCGAATCACAATCAATCAACAAATAATGGTGTGAGAAAAGCTGCATGCAAATAGCATCTATCTATTTAACATTAAGCGGGCTATTGTTAGGTTAGTATTAATTTATTACCATCCTCTTTAGCCTTGGTTTCAATATCTTTGAATATCGAAACAATTTATGGACAGAACGGAATATGGTCTCAGAGAGATGAAAGTACATTACACCAATGCGAGGAGACTCTTAGACACTGTTGCTAGCCCTACTTAATTGCTTGTAATTTTTGTACTTAAACTCTGTACATAATTTAGTAACACGTATCCATTTACCGCTCAAAAAAGAGATGAAAGCACATTGAATAAGAATCAACGCTAGCTCTAACATGAGACCTGTAGGATCAATAAGCAAGGATATATTAATAAACTCTAGTTCTAGTATTTTTCAATGTGCTTTGAGAAGTATTCTTTGCTTTCCTGTATGACGACGGACTTAACCATTAGCGCATATGGACGAATCATAGGTGATATGCACACTTGGAGGTACAGTATTTGCTGGGATTTTGCTACTGCGAGTGATCTGGGCAGCAGTTGCTTACTTTCAGTCAAGTGGAAATAGCTTTAACCAGGGTGGCAGCTCCTTTGGCGCCGCAGCTTAGAGCTCTCTTTACCACTCCGTAAGCTAAAAACCTCGCATTCTTTCCTTCTGTGCTACTTGGTTACAGGCTAGAGGCCATCATATCATGTACTATATATTGTATATCAAATCTTTTGGGCCAACCATTAAGAGTCTGTGGATGTCATTCGCATTTTTCATGTGAACAGTGTATATTAGACTTGACAATTTAAATTATTTTTTCCAAGTTCGTTTATAAAAATCCTAAAAAATCAAGAAGAAATATACGAAGTCATATTGGGTCACTCTATTCAACATAGCGTCACAAACAAACACCAATGTTGAAACTGCCGCACAAAATAAGCGACATGTAATCAGGAGAGGCAGCCTTCTTTTACAAGAACAATACGTTATACGTTGGAGCTGAATATTGCCACAGAAAGCTTATATTTCCCTATGCTACATATTCAGTGAATAAATATTCTAACACGGCAGCAAATGGACATGCTAGTGTTTACTAACTCGAGCAGGCCCTGTAAAAGACCAAAATCGCCATGACCATTTTCTTCTGGCTTTGAGTATGTCTTAAGCGGATGAAGGAAATACTGCATCTTTATGTAATTATTACCAGGTTCATGGATTTATTGAATCATGTTGTTCTTTCAAATCCGCCACCTAACTGCATGTGTAACCATTCTGGTGATGCACCCCGGCTGAACTGATCTCGCGGAGCTTGAGAACCAATTACCATGTCAAGTGTGTTGATCAAACTGTATTTAAATAGACGTTTCCGAAGAATCAAGATATCATGAGGTAATATTCAACATGCATGTGTGTGTGTGGGGGTGTGTTCCTCAACTAATCACTCCTAGAAAACACCTAGGAGACACTATTTGCTACGCGCTTAATAAACACGCCTCCAAGGCTGCAAACCCAAAATCCATCGGATGCAAGATCATTCTTGCTTAATAAGTCTTTTCATATTATTCTTTAAGCTTAAGGTTCATGATATGAATATTGTCCACGAAAGGAAGTTTGTTGACTCTTGACTCTTCTTTAGATCAGCACCATATAACTAAAGGAACGAAATAGTAATGGTCTATCAGGACTCAATATTTAAAACAAACGAATTAAAACCAGTTTTCAACCCTTCAAGTCATTTAAGTTTCGTAAAAAATTCAATGTGTAGTCCAAAAACCTAGTAGACGACTTACATCTTTTGGATGAAAAATTTCAATGCCAGCAGGGTTCACACTTGAATTTACAGCTTCAAGCTTCATTGACAAGAACTGTTTCATCCAGTCAAATTACAAGGCAGAACTTTAATTTCGATCAATAAATAACTGTTGGAAAAAAAATCATAATTCACGGGCCAAGAAACTAAGATAAGAAGTCAAGACGGAGTTATACCTCAACTTGGCGCTGTAGCGACTGAATGTAATTTATTATCTCATCGAGGACCAACGCTTTCCCAGTAACCTGAATCGAGAAAGTATTTTACTTCAAAATTTCATATGAAGTTGGCAAACAACACCGTTGGTGACAGGTGATTTTCAGTTCTGTTATCAATAGCCTAGATATAAAAATACACATGAAAACACCGGTTTCTCCCTTTCAAGTTATTTTATTCAAATTGAAAGAATCACGGTTAACGCAGAGTAGAAAAAAAACTCATTAAAGTTCCCAAAACATACCTTGTCACAACCAGGAACCAACTCCTGAAGAATTTGCATCCTCTCGCTTATCTTTTCCCTCCTCGCCTGTTTCAATCAGAATGCCTAGCACAAGTCAGTCTACCACCCCATAAACAACCAATCCCTTTATCACAAATATGTAACAGAAGGTTATAAAACTAGAGTATGATTTTTCATTTACTTCTTTTAAGATCAGGACTAAATAGAAAATATCGGAACAATAACGCAATTCTAGCAGAGGTAAATTACTCTTTCCGCTAGACTGTGACTATCAGTAGCTTGACCCCTTCTCGCCCGTACATGGATGTAAGCCGGCTTAGGAGGCTCAGAAGCTGGCTGAGTACTTTGCTCCGCTGGCTTTTCTGAGCCGGTTTCTGTTTCAGCTTTCGTTTCAAGGCTCTCATTCCGATTTCCACATACTTTAAGCCGTTTTCCATCACCATCATTCTGCTCAATTCAAATTCAGAATTGGTAAATAGGTTAATTCTAAAAACATAACTTCAGATCCATATTCTGTGTTCTAATTTTTTGTACCGTCAACTTTTTGCCAAATAAAACAGCGCTTAATCTCACTTAATTGGATTAACTTCCCAATGGTTTTGAGACATACACATATACTAGATCACTGAGCATACGAACGAGTGATTACCACGCCATTGCTATCGCCAATGCCACCGTTGCTGGTGGTAGAGACGCCTTTCGCCAATTCATCCTCGGAGTCGCGCTTCTTCCTATTGACCCCGTTTCCTTCCTGGTCCGAACAGCTCGGGTCAATACCCGGGCCATTCGGATTCGAACCCGATGTAAACGCCCCAAACTGCCCCAAATTTTGTCCGAACTGCGGCCTCCTCAAGCCCAACCCTCCCCTGGACTCCCCGAGACCAGCACCGCCGTTCGTCGGGAACTGCCAGATGTCGGCCAAGTTATGCGACGCCGTATGAGCGTTCCCATTCCCAAATGAACCCTCGTTCATCATATTGATAGCCGCGGGATCCGTAACAGCACCGCCAATGAACTTTCACTCAAACAGTCAACATCCACCCAGCACCGCTGGGGAATAACTACAAGAGCAACTGTGCTATTCGAGAAGCTTCAGAACAACGAAAAGGATGCAATTATTCAAAAAGAAAGAGAGAAGAGAAGCTGCAACTTGCAAGGTCTTCTTCGTGCTTGATCTCCGTGGACAGTGGAGGCTGATGCGCCTTTTGTTAATACTCCTCGTATCCTAATTATAAGACCCAATTGATTTATTTGAGGAGATTAAGAAAGTAAGTTAAGTTGGTTATTTATAATAAATAAATGTTGTCATTCCTAAAATATCTTTACTAATTAAGTATATTGGCTAAAACTATTATTATTAGAAGGATTATCTTGAAAAAAAATACATAAATATAAGAGACAAAATGAATTAGAGCTTTATAATTAAAACCAAATAAAAAGTAAAATAGGATCTTATAATAAGTACAGGAGGAGTATTTATATTTCATTCGTCCCTCCCACGGATCGATTTGAGCGCTCATCTGATCAGCAATTTGGAAGAGAGCGATGTGAGCGATTCGGTTTTAATATTTTTAATTTTTAAAAAAATTTAAAAAAAATAAATCTGAACGGTTTAGATCGCTCATCAAAGAATGAACACTGGATGCTAATCTTCGAAGAGTACCCAAACCAGATCCCTTCCAGTTAGCTTTTTCTCGAGGTCCAGCATTTCATGCTCTCATCAGCTTGACTCCCCTGATTGCTTGCCGTCTGATGCTACTACCATGGCACTCAAGAGGAAAACCCCAACCGTTGATTGCCCACATGAAACCAAACGTCCAAACCTGATCATCTTGGATTTTCATTTGGAATAACTTATAAATAATTTTTTAATTATAACAAAATATGAAATAAATATATAAAATAATTTTTATCTTAATTTACGTTAATTGTGTTTATAGTTATTAAAACTTTTCATGATTAACTAACAAATTATAGTACACATTTAAATTTAAATATAAAAGAAAGCAACGAAAAATTAAAAAAAGTGTCAGGCAAGTTTTATGAAATTAAAAAAGGTAAAAAGTAGAAATGAATATAAATTTTGGATTTTTTTTTCTCGGTCAATTTTTTAGATTTTACAAAAAAAAGTTATGAGAAAACAAAAGGAAAGTGCGAAAAAAATGACGGGTTATTTTGAGAGTTTAGCGAGCCAAAGTACAAATACGGTGGACAAATTGTTTAGCGGGAAAGAGACAACGGTGGGGTTCCATTGATTATCCAATGATTTGGGGAAAAAGTTATGGGAAAAGTAATGATGTTTTGATTAAGGAGATGCTAATTTTTGTTTGCCAGAGATTAAGGAGATGCTAATGATGATTAATGAGAGACTTAAAGACTTAAGCGGTGATATGTGGTAAAGCACTGGGGAAAACGATGGTTAGGAAGTTGATGACCGATGAGTGATTACGACCTTAGGTCAATTCAAGCTTTGAATTTTAGAATGAGGGGGTGTTTGGATTGCTCAATAAATACTTTTAAAAAGTATGTTTTCACAAATCGAGACAAACTCTTTCATATATTTACTTCATATATAGCAAAAGCACTTTTAAAATTATGATTTTGTTTCTACCCAAACACCCCCTACATGAGGTCCACTGCCAAAATAGTCCCCTCTGGTGAGATGTATGCTTTTTAATTTTTCTATTTCTATTTTTAAGTCATTTTTAACATGTTTTATACAAATTAAGAAAAATTTTAAACTTTACTAACTCTCATTTAATATTCAACAACAGCATAAATTATACTTTATGAAAACAAAATCAACATAATAATAAATTAAAAATAAAGTTGTTCATTCATATAAAAAAAATTTCTTGGTCTTTCATATTGAACCAAAATTTTTTTTTCTTTTTTCAATAAATAGGATTAGAGGAGTGTATAGTTTTAAGTTACATATAAATAATTTTCTAATATTAAAAATGTAGTAGAAAGTAGAAACTCCTTACACTTTTAAATTTGTGCATATAATTCATTCATCGTTAGTCAGCCGTATTTGATAAAGCAACGTGATATATATTTGTATCATCTGTATCAAAAAAAAAAATTGTATCATCAATAAATATCTTATTAAAGTCAATTTTATATATAAATAGTCTTTTTATAGTTTGAGTTTTATGTCAGTAACCTGTAATTCTACAAGCTTCAAGTACGCTAAGATAAATAATCCAATTATATTCAATTTAATCGGGGAAATAATAGAATAAATCATGCAGATCTTATCTTCTTGCGTCAATAGATTCGGTCCTTTTTTTTTTTTGGCCATTGTTCCTTCTTCCACTCTCCATGTCTCTGGTATTATACTACAAGGTCCCGTTTGATGATAGACATCAATGATGTCTTCTTCTTCTTTTTTTGTTGGGACAATTGTGAAGCAAAGTTTTAATTGAAAACAAGTTACACCAGGTGTTATCATCAACTGCTTAATCTGCAGAGCAGTGGTTTCAAATGAGATCAATGTTTAAATCTAGTAAATGGAAAAAAAAAAATTGAACCCAATAATATTTGAAT